GATGATGATGATGATGATGATGATGATGATGATGATGATGATGATGATGTTTTTTCATGGGGGTCTCTATGAACAATGGTTTTGGATGATTGGGGTGGGCAATGCCCCAACGTCTTTACATCTTCCCCTACCAGCCTGCAACAGGCCCAAATGAGCCACAGTGAGCGCAGTGAGTGTCGGAGGGGATTCCAGGGATCATTTCAAGCCTTGCGAAGGCTCAACAACTTCTGAGGCTTAGTATAATTTATCAATGTTTTGGGCTCGCAACTGTTCGTTCGGCGCTGTTTTGCCTGCCAGCAAGTCACTTTGAATTGCTCCAGTTGGCTTGCAACTCGTGTCTCATATTGAAACTCCTGCAGAAAGTCAGCAATTCAATGTGTTATGAGGATTTAAATCCAGCAAGTGACAGCTTTTCAGACTTGATCTTGCAAATAAGTCTGCACAATGAGACGCACACCAACACAAAATAATACTATCAATCCTGCAACCCATACCTCAAACACTTTTTTGGATTTCCCTAAAATCCATCGGATAGGCTGGCTTGATTGCAGAAGGTGGATTAATATTATCTTAAAACAAAACGTCTTGACCTTTGCATTGGCCTTGGTGGGAATGGTATGAAGGAGTCACCGGTCTTGCGCTCGCCGACCATAACCAAGGAAGTATCAAAGACAAGGCCCCAAACTTCCGGCCCTCCAGTTTTCACCATGGTCCATCCATACACCCTGCACGACCCGAACGAAAAAACGCAAAAACGCCGAACATACGCCCGTTTCCAGACACCCGCGCGATCGCTCCTCCTCTTGACGTTTCAAGATTGCGCGATCTGGTCGAATCATCATAGACGCCATCGCTTTTGCGAAGTCGACGTCGCGAGGCCTCCGACGGCAGCGGCGTGACGCTGCAAACGGATCCAGCCACTCCGCCTAAGGCCCTAGCTGCCTTGCTGCCTTTCGCAGCAAAAATCACCAACACATGTGGCAAGAGTACGGTTCCGGTGGAGAAGAACTGCCGACAGAATTGGGTCCATTTGACGGGGTCCCCACGGTCCACCGTGGACACGAACTGCGCACTCGTCGTTGGACCCACACGCTCGACGATGGGCCTTCGCCCCGGCCACCAAATGTATGACCCCCCGTTCGGTGGCAAAGTCCTTGAGCCAAAATCGCCGGCAGGGGAGCCCGCAGGTGTCGTTGATGAGTCGCAACAATCGCCGGTGAGTCGGGTGGAATGGTCGAAAACAGGGCTGCTGGTTCTACCCGAAGGAGCTCGTAGGATCATCTGTTTTGGTAGCTAGGAAGAATTGCTTCCAATGTTTCCACATGAGCTTTCAGTCGCCTTGTTGGTCTGAATAAGCATCACTCTCAAGATCTTGTCAGCGCAATTGTGATTTTTGGCGGCACAGCGCATTGATCTAGAGCTCTTTGGCATCATTGGCCAAAAGTGGTCTGAATGTCGGGCAAAGATCTTCAAACAAGCTGCTACTTGCAGTTATGTAGTAATCCAACGTAATCCATTTCCACATCCAAGGATCCCGCATCTCACAACATTCACTATTTATCCTGGATACCTCCAATGATCATCTGCGACCAACACGCTGCCTCACGACGCAAGTCCGCCATGAGTGCCTTGCAGATCTGCGATTTGCCGGCTTTGTGTGTGTGTGCGTGTCGAAGACAATCCCTCCCTCAAACACCAGGAGTTGTGGAAAACAACGTCTCAAACAGCATCTTCAGAATTTGAATCCACCAAAGGGAAAACAAGTCAACCAGGAACAAAGCCTTTCGAAAAAGCCCGATGTGTTTTCTTCTTGGGATTGTTGGATACCTGGGGCTAGTCAAAGCCTTCATCTGCTGGAAGCAACTCGTCAGGGAAAACTACTGCCAAGTGCAGACCTTTTCGACGCAGAACCCAGGCCAGGCTTCTGGAAAAAAAGCTGGACCAAGATAAAGTGTTCAGCGAAGCAAGCCCGCGCGCGAGTAAGCGCGCCCCCTTGCGTTCAGCTGGCAACCCCTCAAGAGAAGACTTTGCAAACTGCCTACGATGAAATGCTTTGCTTACACCCACTTCTGAGGTGTCTTCCCGCTGACCCTCGGTGAGGCCTTGGACAGATGCCAAGATATGCCAAGCACCCGGTCAAGGAAGTTATGCTTGGATCCCTCTGATTTGACAAAAACATCATGGTCGACCTATGCTGGAACAGAAACTAAACGCCAGTCTTGCGAAGGTCAGGTAATGATTCTGAACTGTGCAGAAGAGTTCAACTGTTCCGCACAGGATGGAACTGCTCAAGATTGCAAACAACACTCCCCTGTAATTAATTGTCACCGATCAGCCGCAAACACATATCATTTACATCAACTTACCGCTAGGAGTGCCGTTCTGCCATCTGTCGCTCACTCGAAACAAAATTTGGGATACTTCTCCTTTATCGCCGGAAGGTCTTCTCGTAGCATCGTCATTTCTTTGAGCAAGGCAGGCGGCACCATCACACCACCTGTGCTCGCTTATGCTCGCTTCTGCTCGTGCTTCATCGGATCCAAGGGTCCAAATCAGAAGGACGAACTCTACTCATCTCCATACCCCTCCTTCCCACACCACTGCCTCCAACAAAATCTACAAACAACAAATCACCCACCTCACCCCCCCTCCCTCCCTCTTTTTTTGCGGGCCTTCGGACATCCGCTTCTGTCGGAAGTCGTTCTCCGCCTCGCCCGCGGTCCAAATCCTTCCCGGGCCATTGGGGTCCTTCCCGGTGCTGCGCACCCAGCGGAGGAAGTCGCCCGACTTCTTCTTGAAGACCTGCGACTCGTCACCCGGACGGTACGAGTCGGGAGATTTACGCGGGTTGAGCTCAGCGAAGTCAGGGGGAGGGGAGGGGTTGTTGAGCCAGTCCCGTCGTTGGGAACGGGGCAAAGAGGGTGGGACGCGGTGGGAGATAAGGTGGGGCAGGGTGGAGAGTGAGAAGGAGAGGGCGCTGGATGGTGCCGGGACTCCCCTTTGTTCAACGACATGACAGCCCTCGCTGAAGCGAACGCGCGAAGACACCAAGACAAAGCCTCAAGGTCACAAATGGCTTCCACGTCGATCGCCAAAAAGAAATGCCCCAAGGACATCGGGGCAGGCTTTCCTGTCGCCACAGCGTTGGCTTCCCCAATGCAACGCAAAACATCACTGCCTTGCTTGATATCTATCATAGCTGAGCTGCATGTATATTCCGTTATATAGTATAGGATCTATCCAGAAATTGCGACAACCTGTCCGACTCCTGTTTCGAGCATCACCTTCCCACAACAAACACCTTTCAATATACACCTTTTACATCAAAACATATCAAAACATTGAACCTGTCTATAAGTTCCATGTAGGATCTTCTCACCAAGCATCCCAAAGGTCAAATTGATGCACAACGTTGAGAGTGTGGCTCCTAAAAAACACAAAAAAAAACACTGGCAGTGTAGCCGTTCCACCGCTGTACCACCCTTCAAGAATCCTGCCTTCCCCACCCTTCATGACGCTCCCCATCACTTCCTCCCATCGCCGACCTGACTCACCCCGCTCCTTGTGCGTCCACACCCGTGAGCTTCTCGCCAAAGTCTCCGTTCTGGAAGGCGATGCTGAGGAGCTCCACGACCACGGACCAGGAGTAGCCTACCACGACCACGACGCGCGAATTCGATGGCACGTCGGAGGTAATTATACCTCCTCTAGGGGTTAATTCTTGATTTTGGTCTCGCACGTCAACAAGAAAACAAGAAAACAATGGTGACGGTTTTCTATGAGTCTTGTCGATATAAATACCTCAGGGCCAGTCCTTGACATACTTGAAAGACCGTGAAAGCCAATTTCAAGGAGGGTCAGCCTCTACTCACAAATGCCGCAGTCGCTCTCTGTTTTATCGAGATGTCGAGTAGAAACTTGGAGAAGGCTTGACAAATTGGCCCCAAACAGAATCATATATGGAACCCGAACATGGACCTGATTATTTTCTTCTCAACTTGGGCACTGGCAACATTGAGGAAACCAACTAATACTATCAGATCTGAACCTCAAACGGTCAAAGGACACGTCAGACAATTCGACGTTTGTCGAATCCTCGAATGCTTTTCGCTGACTCTCCTGGCTGACCAGTCTCCTCCCGGTTAAACCAAACCGTCCCCCTTTCAGAAGGAAAAGCAGCGAAGAACTTGGTCGACAGGTGGGTGTTTCCGGGGTTCCATATGGTTCAATGATTCATAACGATTCATAATTACACCATCTTACACCACTATTCAGATATTTTAAGATTTGTTTAAAACATTTAAAGAACAACCTGTCTGAACACATCCAGCTGGCCTTTGTAGCCACCGAGCTCATCTCCCACACCTGGCAACAGCTAGCTTGACTTCCTCTTACATGCGAAGTTTCCTTTGTTTGGGCGTCCCACCACACCGTGTTCTTGGAACCATGCAAAGTGTTTTGTTGGCCATGGCATGCCATGGCTGCGGCACCTCCAATGGGGCACAAAGCGCACTCACCCTTCACCATACCTTTCAGGATCCCTTCAGTGTCTGTGCGCTCTTCGCCATTCTTGTCAATGACCATGCCTCGACTGTGGATGAATCGACTGTGGTGATGAGTTAGGCTCAATCACGGGCCTCCGAACCAGAAGATGTTACGTTTCCTTTGCCCAGTGAACTGTTTTAGCTGCTGTCCGAGTTCTGTTTTTGAGGCGTCAAGTGGAGACGCTACTTAGCCGCTACTTGCCTGGATTTCATTGAGCTGTGGCACACCGAAGACAAAATAACAAATCGAAATGTCTGTGAAGATGCCCTTGGGCGTGGGCAGTCCCAAGCGAGCATACTTCTCTACCTTGCCACGCTGGCAAATGGAGGTTGCGCAGTCGATGACGAAGGGGAAGGGCTCATCTGTAGGAATGCCAAAGCACAAAGGGTTGGTTCCTTGGAATCGCGTGAGGACACCCGGAAGAACTCATACAGAATACAGAGTCACATTCATATGGTGGTCCCCAAATAGATAGCGCGTGATAGCGGCACGGGTTTCAAGACAGTAGGAAGTTTACTTTTCTATCCATTTGGGGGTCCTAAGTCCTAAGGGTCCTAGTCCCTAATTATGCCGCCTATGCCAGATTCACTTGGCTTCCGGTTGATTTGGTTGGGAGGAAACGATCACCAACGTGCGTTCAGCATTCAACCGCGCATCCCATGCAGGGCTCCACACCGAAGGTCGGCGCAATGGAGGGTCGTGCATTCGTCCCGGCGAAGCCCACGCAACCCTTCTCACAGGCCATGGAGGTGTAGTAGCCGGCGATGCCATAGTGGGTGCTGTTGCGGCACGCGACGAAACCCAATCCGCTCTTTTTGGCCTTTGCAATGGCCAACTCCATGCCTGGGGCACGCCAGGTAACCAGGTTAGGGAATGGAACAAATAACATCAAATAACAAATCACACACACACACACATCTTTGCAAATTTCTCATAAAATTGACAAAAACTGGAGAACACAGGAGGCTTAGAAGCAACACAAAGGTTCTGGATATCTGCGTGAGATACAATAAGGGCCCACATAGAGGCCCATCCCCATGTTGGCATCCACCATTGCTGTAGTCGCCGTCTCCTTCACGATCTCAATGGGTGCATACGGCTTCAAGATCCCATTCTTGATGCGGTCTAAGTAGATGGTCTTCCTCATCCGATGTGGTCAAACAGTCTACCCGAGAAGATGTTTACGCCCAACAGTCTCCTGTGGGTGTCGACACGAAAATGGCCCGTCTCGGGCTCCCAAACATCGACTCGTCTCGTCATGGTGCTTCCGAAACCTGAAGAACAAGCACGTCTTCCGCCCCGTCTCGTCTTCCCCCTGCGTCACACTCCGTCCAGATGGTCCACTCTCGCCGGGCGTCAATCTGCCTATGCCGTGGCTGTCAATGCCACGCTTGTCCGCCTCGATCAGGACCGAGGCAGAGATCTTGGATTCCTTCTCAGGGCATCCTGCGAGTCAATCCGCCCACGGTGAGGGGAAGGGGCTTTGCACCGAGTGAAACGCCCCTGCCCGGGCAGGCGCGTTTCAATTCATGGCGGGGCGACAGCAGAGATAGGGTCGAGTTGGCATCCATTCGATTGGCATCCATGCTGAACGCATTGACACTGTGCTTGAAAAAGATCTACTACAGTACCAGCACCTTCAAAGAGGTCACCAATGGAAGCGCCTACACCACTAAGGGACCTCCATTGGACACCCCTTGAAGGTCCAGGTAGGTTTGTAGGGAGCAGTATGGAGAGAGATGTCGTGTGCTTTCGTAAAGGGAACTCACCCTGTCGAACTCGTGTCGTGTTGGCCATGAATACGAGCGTCTTGTGTTGGCAACATGGGACTCTGAGATCCTCCAACTTGCGAAGCCTATGAGGCGCAAGGTCTCTCAGAGTAAGACGCACGGTGTAAACGTAAACTTCCAGGCACTCCCCATGGGCTCAGAACAAACATAAAACATCATAAAACGTAACCATGAAAGTCATGGACCAAATTGAGACCAAATTGAGGAAGAACACATGCACATATTTGATCATATGGTATGCGTCTAATGTTAACAGCTGAACACATGCCCAAGCCACAAACTGGGTCTCCTGCTGCTAAAAAGCAATCAACCATGAACTTCTCCAAGTAGTCGAAGTCGAGGCGCTTCGCCCCTTCCACATGCATGGCCTGCAAAGGTCCTTGGTTGGCCTTTGCAACTGGACATCCAAAGAATTGCTGACCTTAGATCGAGAAGGAAGAGCGGAGAAAGGGGCCCGGAAGAGATACAAGACGCACAGCTCTCTATTTACCAAAAGATTGCCAAAATTCAATATAATTCAACAAGGGAAACGTACATCGAACACAAAAAACATAAAATTATGAAGCAGTTTCAGGCAGTACCAGGTCACCAATTTTGACAATCACATCATCCGGGGGCCCTCCAGCCTCTAGAAACTCTGCGATCAGCTTCTTATACGAGTCCTGACTCTCAAAAAACATGGCTAATGATTGAATTCCACTTCTAATTGACATACTACCTGAGCTCCGTCAAACTTTACCCAATCTTGTTTGGCAAGCAAAAAGGGAACACTCATTGCTTTGCCTCGGCATAAAGAAGTTGTTCCTTCTTAGAATATTGAACTGAAACATGCTGGGCTGGAACAGGAGCATCCAGTCATCCTTCCTCTTATCTTGGTTTGAACAAAGATGGGCCAGGTCAAACTTCTTAAAGTAAACACATTGAAAAACAGGTGAAAACAGGTGAACACAAAACAAAGCTAACCTAAGCAACCGATCTTCCTTTCATTACACCGTACGCAAACGATCATGATCCCGGACCTTCAGCCACTGAGCATGGAATTGATCCAACTTTTGACCATCTTAAGTTGCCCCCACCATAATGTGTTCATTTCGGAGAGTTTGTGTCTCAACTTGACATGCTGTAAGAACATCCCACTAACAATCATCAAGTATCAATGTTAAATGTTGTAGGTTGTAGACAAACTGCCTATTCATGTGAAACCAATATTCCTTTTTACCACCGGAGGCTCAGGTGCGTGGCTTTTCACTGAGCCTACCATGCCTTCCAGCAACCAGGCAACCCGGCAACCCCTGGTGCTGCTTGGAACATGTCCATTGCGGGTTGCTGGGTCTTCGCGCTGATGTGATCTCCCCACAGGAACATGTCCATGGCGCGTCGGTGTCCTTGACAGTTCCATTCTCCAAGCTGGCACTCGCCACCAGCTCTCCCGCGCGCTTTCGAAGCTCCTGAAGACCATCCTCATGCTTGCGCTTCATGGCAAGGGCCACGACAGCGGAAGAAGCCGAGACGCCGCGACGCGACGCTGCAGGAACAAATGTGGAGGTCCAGGGAACGCTGTGAAGGTGTCCGATGCGACCCATGATGGGTGGAACATGCGACCGATGATCTTGCAACCTATAGAGTCTTTGTGATCTTGGAACTGATGACATGCTGTGCATGGCGCGCCTTGAGCCCAACAAGGGAGTGCTTTTTGTTGATCAAACATCTCACGATGCTGGCGGGGGGAAGCAGTGGTTTCAAAACCTGTGATTCACTCCATGCTTGCCTTCAGCGGGGAACACAGCCGCGTAGACTATACTGTCTGTGTTTGAGGAATTTCCGCCCAAAAGATCCTACACGGGTCTGGAACATGTGCATATCCTCAAAACTCCCGATGCTGGCAATGCCTTGTGCTTTAGCTCCGACGCTACATCGAAACTGCCAGGGCCATGGCAGCCCCAAGCTGCTCAGCCGAGTTCTGAGGCGGCTTGTGGAACTGTTTCATCCAGTAAGGCTCCATTCATGGTATTTCCCACAATGTCTTATCCATGTTCCACATTTAAACATCGTTAAACCAACTTAAGTATGGTGCCCCCACATTATTTAACATATTGGCAACGGTTTGTTTGGCAGAACTGTTCCAAAGCATTTAGATCTGCTAATCTACTAGGCCGCTCTTGGAACATGGCAAGCGTGTGGTTCTTGCCAAAACCATAGATTTGTTGTTCCTCCATGTAGCCACCATGATTATTTTGGGGTATCCTACTTATGATTTGTTGTTCCTCCACGTATTCCACATCATGACCAACTCTGGGTGACTTAGCGTGGCCACAATATGTTAGATATATCCTTGTCGACAGTGGATACTCCTATCCTTGCAACAGCAACTTCAACAAACATCTACCTGGACCATCCAAGGGGTGCCCTGTCTGGAAGCCTATAGGTAGTGTAGGGTAGTCCGGTAGTCCATTGGACACCCCGACAGGATGGTCCTGGTACAGTAAATTAGACGAGCTGTATGAGTCTAAGACGAGTCTAGCTCTCTGGTCCCTGGCTCTTGGTCGAGCCTAAAAACAGCTGTCAAAAGAGCGGATTTGGGACATGATCTGTTGCAGAAGGTGAGCAGGAATGCCAAAAGCCTTGTAGAATCTGTCGAGTAGTTCATTTCTGTGTGGCTGCTGGCACAGATCTAAGAATCTCTGGGCTGGCGCTTTCCTTCCTGAAGAGAGCACAAGAAAATGGCTGCGGTTTGGACGCCGAGTTGGATCCTGAAACTGTCCACGACATTGGGAGCAAACGGTCACCAGCAAGCCCCCCCAGTAGCTAGAAGACTAACCAAAACATGACCCAAAGGACTACTATAATATATAGGAACAAGAAGCTACGATCGGGGCTCCTGGCATCGCTACTAGCAGCAAAGGACGCTACGAACGGGGCTCCTGGCCTTACCCTGTTGTCCTTGTATCTCGTCTTTTGCTTCGCTCAGCCTGGGCTCCTTTGGCCGTCCAGCACCGGAGCTGAGTTCTTGGACCACCGAGAGGACGCCCGACTGGAAGGAGTGTGCCTCCGGAAGGAGAGGGCGCTCCGGGTGTCCGGCCAAAGAGCGTTTCGGTGTTTGTGGATGCCAGTCAGAATCATGGAATTGTTAACGTATTGTGAAGTTGTTTCATTTTGGAGTCAGGTCTTTCTTGTGCTAGACTGCTAGACTTGCCGTCGTTAGATTCAAGTGAGAGTAGTTAGTTAGTGAACTAGCACAAAGGCAACTGCTCAACACGTCGGTTGCACCCGAAAGCAAGACCGTCTTCCTCTACGAACAGGGACGTAACTTCCACGTTTCCCGTTTAAAACCATGTGAAGAATCGACGTTTCGATCGCTTCGTCTCCTGCGCGACTCACATGATACCACATGTATCTTCTCTCTCGGGGCTCCCGGAACCCTCCTGCAGATTTAACATGGACCCGCCAAACCACTGGTTTGTAGAGGATTTCAACGGATTTCAACGGATTTCACATGGTCCAAACCACGGGTGAATTGCTAGGGTACGTTTGGCCACCCCCCCAGGCACCTCCCAACAGGAGCGCAACGAGGCGCCGTTCTGAGGGCGGGCGTGCGGGCGTGCCGGCGCGGAGAACCGCGGGCGTCGGGATGGATCAGATCGTCTCCTCGTCGCCGAAAGAGTACCACGTGGGGATGCCCCACTTCAGGTAGAGTGGCCTCGGGACTTGAACTTCAAAAGGTGGAGAGGTGTGGTGAATCTGGACAATGACAATGACCATTCGACACATGAGGAGTCGACCATGTGTGGAGGGTGACAGAGGATGCAATATTTGCTTTCAAACAAAGATGAATTTGGCTTGAAGATGCCAAGGAAAGCCCAGTTATCAGTGGGTATCTTTGTTTGTGTGCCTGCGCCCCTGAGACGGAGTTGGCTAAGACAGAAGACTCAGAAGACACTTCGCTCTTTATGCATGTGTGTGATTAGACCCGTGGAAAGAACCCTGGAAAGAATCCTCTTGGCTTTTCAAGCTTGATCAGCAGCCATCAACGAGCAAGTTAAGACTCCCATTTCCAAGATGCTAGAAATGAGTGTTTGGATGTGTTTGGTGAGAAAGACACATCTACCTGTACCTGTATGTACACTCCTTCTTTTTAAGCAAGAACAGTTTTGTCAAGACATGTAAAGATATGTCCCCACATCGCTTCTGAACGTTCAATCGAGATGGATCAAACTTGTGAAGTCATCCCAATGGCTTTATTTGGAGCAGTTCCAGTTGCAGTCATACGGAGCCATATATTATGTCTGACATGGTCTGACTATCTAATACTTCTTAACCTTCCGCGTTGGCTTGGGGTCTGGTAACACCAACTGCGAAATGTGCACCTTGACAACCTTATGGTCATCGGTCAAGGTACTTGGCATAGCTTGAACATTGAACTTTATGCTAATTTGACTCGGCACTGAAAAACAGGATCGATCATGACGCCCAGGTGCACATCGGGATCATGTTCTCTTGGATGTTGAGACAAAGGCTCGCCGAACATTCGATGCCAGACTGCCTGGGAAGTGATGACTAGTGAACGAATTGATTGTATATGAGTGGGTATTCAAGTAGGGAGACCTCCCAGATAGACCCCCTGGAAGGAGGAAGACAGACCAGTCTATGCATTGGGTGGGGTCTCCCTATTAAGATACACATACTTTCTTGGCTCCCAAAGCAGTGCTCTTTCATTCTCGATGTTTCCATGCTTATCTCGAGAAGCTTGGTTTTGCTTTTGGGATCTGGTGGGCCTTCACTTGTCCGCCAGGTATTGACTCAATTTCTCTATGCTTAGCTTTTTGGCCGGGGTAGACTCCACGGAATTATATATTGGATCCGATGATCACGGGCCGCCCTTTTCTTCGATCGCTCCCTGAGTCGCTCCCTGATCACCGCAGGATACGCACCACGTCGGATCCTCCGATGCACTCCTCACTAAGCCTACGGGCCATTCACCTGGAATCAGACATCTGGTATCGCTACGAACGGAACAAGATGCCAAAAGAACTCTGGTCGAGTGGCCTCGAAGAGTCCAGTGGTGTTGGAACACCAAACGCCATCAGCGCCAAAGATCCTGAGCTCCTGCAGGGGCCACCACTGCAGCCGATCCTGGCATCTGGGCTCAATAGGGGTTGGGCGGGTCAGACCACCAGCATGCATCCATGCAATGGGGGCCGAACCGCAAGAAGTTACCGGTTCTTGACATGCCTTCGAAGTATTGGATGTTTATGAGCTAGGAACTGCTGTCCTCTTCAATCTCTGGTCAATTCTGTGAGTAGTACTAAATTGATTAAACACTTGCCGGTCCTAAAGACACAACGCCACCCCCACTGGGACTTCCAAAACAATTCCCCCTGTCCGTCCCAAGCGTCGTCTCCAGTCCAGCCTATCCATCAGCTCGAGGACGCTTTTTCAACAACCGAAACGATCACGCGCCACGCGCCTTGCGGACGATCGCCTGGCTGCCGGTATAGAACTGGAAAACATGACTGGCGTCCGCCTTCCCATGCGCCACGCCGGCCGCGGGCGCCGCGGGATAGACCTTGACGAAGGACACCTGGCGAAGTTGTTGAGGAGCAAAGCAAGATGAACTCCAAATACAAGCAGCCTGGAGCAGATAGAATATGACATAAATTATACTACAATATGACCAAACCATACCAAACCGAAAATATGACCAGTTTCCACTTTTGGGGATTTGGCCAACTCTATCACTCTATCAGATATCACTATCCCACTTGACAGGACGACAGTGAAGGACATATACTGAGAGTGTGACACGTCCACCGAGGTGGAGAAAATCCATGCACCACCTGGACCCCATTCCTGCTGGATCTGCTGATTCAAGACTTTTACCTCGACAGGTTTTGTCCTGCTGGTCCATATTCGAGGGCCTTTCCAAAAGAACTGGACGGCTATTTTTGGTCGGCACTCCACTTTGGTTTCTCCAAAAAAACAAATTGTTCACTTGGCCGGAAAGCAAGACACCCTTGTAAAGAACATGACACAACGAAAACAGTGGGCAAGAAATGTGAATCTTGGGATCATCTCATTCATATGCTCTCCAATCCCAGTGGACATGCAAAAGATCATCAGCGAGACTCAAGAAAAAAAAATAAGGATGCTCATAAAGTAGGTGTTCGCCCACATCAATCATTTTAGTGGACTAGCTGCCTTGCCAAAAAGGATAGTTGCAGCTGCAGCTGCAGCTGGATGTGTTTGCCTTTCTTTGACGAAGTGATTTCTTCGGACATCAGGCCCATCAGGCATGCTTCAGCGCCGGTCACTGAGTAAAGCTGAGTGGTTTCTGAGATTTTCCAGGCTGCAGAAGTCTGCGCCGGGACGAGTCCCAAAGCTCTTTCCGTTCGAGAGAACGTTGCAAATCACCCATTGGTTGCTAGAAAGAGTATTTAACCTGTGAATAATCAGCATAGTGCATTCCCTGAACCACTCAAGATAAGCACATCTCTTCTCTTCAGGAAAAGACCTTTTGAGGTAGGCGCGTGACCATCAGGGTTCAACCGGACCATCTGTGGACAACATGTGAGCAATGCTCCAGGATGAGACATGTGAGCAATCCCGAGTTCATTCACATCCTCTCGCATCCCCAAAAAACAAAAGGATTCGTTTTCCCCATGTTCTCCACCCTTCTCCTGTTCTCCTGCCTCTCCACTGGGACTCTCAAAGAGTTCTTCGCCCCTTCGCAACGTGCAGCGCTGTGAAGCCATCAGTTCCGCATAGCCTTGCTTCGTCGTGGACGGCTCTGCAACCACTGGCGCAGCACAGGTAAAGCCATGGCAGTCCTCACAGGTCAGCTGTTCGCCGAACGCGCACGTCCACAGGTAAACTCAGTGAACTGGTGGACCTTCTTCTTGAATTCGTCGCTTCGAAAACATGTGAATCAAGATTTGGATGGGCTAATGATCCTCCAAGCTCGCTACTCTACAAAAAAGAGACCACAGCGGTTCGGGAAGAACGACTAGCCCCCCTTTGGAGGGCAGGTGGAGAAATTCCTTTGGGGGGGTATTCTTTCCACTGATGACCATCAATAGTTGTGCATCGAAAAGGAACCACATGCAAATGCACCATGAGACCATCCACCCCGCTTGCCCATATCACGCTCCTGGACTGTCCAACCACCAAAATCAGAAAGAGAACGACACCAACGACGCTCTGGAGCCTACCAAAGTGGTGATAAGCACATGATACCACGAGTCGGACCATCTCTCTTTGTTCCGGAAAAAAAGAACGAAGTGTGTTCTTGGCTCTCGGCAGCTGGGGGATCCACCCAGCTGAGGAGGACCAGCACCAACTAGGAAGCCTTAAAAGCGGGTAAGTGTCACATAGAACCCCCGAAATGGTCTTCAAGGGAAGTTTTCACGGTCTTCCTAAATGGTAATTACATGTTTCCGCTTCTCTGTTGGAACTCGGTCTATATACCATATATACCCCATTCCCCTAAATAGATGCTCGGTCTATCTCTGCGGGTCCTCCACCAGATCGCAGCGTCGCCGTGTGTCCGCCTGTCCGCGGATCTGCTCCTCGCCGGGCGGATGCTCCGCCAGGAACGCGTCCTTCGTCTCGTGGTAGGTGGCGCTAAGCCCCGCTGTGGGGAGGTCACGAATCTCAGGAATCTCCGTGAAGTCGTGGTCCAAAGGTCCACAAAACTTGAGATAACTCACTTCACCTTCAGGAGATTCCTGCAGGGTTTGGTTTGTGTTTTGCACAAACCCCAATGGAGGCCTATCCACCCTCCGTTTTGCCATACAGTACCGATCCTTCGTACCATCCGAGCCTCTCCTTTCCTTCGTTCGCGCCAGCTCGAGGTCTCCAGCTCACGTGTGAAATGTCACATGATGTTAAACAACAAAAAGAGCGCTCCAAAACAACCATTGAGCATTGCTCCAAACCTATCGAGAATTGGTTGGTTCCAATGGGCTCTTCTGAAGGGAAGTGTTGGCTCAATTGACCAAACCATCAAATCCCGACTCCACCAGGCCCCTGCAGTCCCTCGAATCATCGGCACAGCACCAGTCCTGCAGCCCTTCCACCCCACGCCGAGCGGTGCAGGAGTGCCGGATTCGTCCCATGGTCAAGGCTTCCTCCTCTTCTGGGTCCAAAGGTGTCATACAAGTGACACCACCACACTCGTCCTCCAACTGAGCACAGGTGGCCTGGCAGAGCCCAACGGAGCACGGGACGGTAAGTGTTTTCGCGAAGGATGTTCCGAGGCACCAATCGATGAAAGCATGATGAAGCTATAGTCGTATGGGTTTGCACTTTACAAGGGAGAGACCCATTTGGCCCAAGCAAATGGGTTTTGGTCTATTGATCTTCCGGCAGGTCTATGGGAGGTCTCCCTTTTTAAAATGTGGTCGTCTAAGGCCGTGTTTGGCGGTGTTTGGCATTGCATGCTGAAACACGGATGCGGCCTTCGCGGCTGGCAAACTTTCACGACGGCCATCCCCAGCATGCCCCTGCAAGAAATAGCCGGGGGCTTTGCTCCAGCGGCACCGGGGTGCTTCATAACCTCAATCAGCCCAAATGTGTACAGACGTACAGATCTGAATTCTCTTGTCCTTTTTGACCCTTCTAACTCTGGTCCTTCCGGAAGACGTCTGGTCCAAGGTTTCAAACGCGACGCGAGGAGCGCAGGCTTTCCCACGGGCGCCCGAAGACTCGCAGCCAAAACTTCTGCCAGATCGAGGAAAAGTGGGTGCCCCACGTGCGCATTGGATCCACCACCATTTGCTGTGCTAAGGGGTAATATGCCAAAGACTCCTTGGATTTGCTTGTAGGAACCTGGAAGAAATAGATCATATGTTCCAGAAGGGGATTTACATGGATTTGCCCATATATAGTAGAAAATCAGCAATCACCTTATAAGCGAAACCAGGACGCATAGGCGAATTGAGACTGCGTGTGGATCAGCTTCAAAGCACGTTGGAGCGCTAGAAAGGCCGGGCCTTGATGCTCATCTGCATCCGGGTGCACAAAAATGGTGAAGTCTGGTAGATTCTCCCAGTTCTCAGTGATATATTTGAAGTACGCCGTTTGTTCTTCACGTTTGGGTCCCCCAGAATAATTCAGAAGCTGCAAGCTCCGGACCGCCTTGCGAAGCTTCATCAGCACCTCTTCCCTCAACGGCTGACACCATGGCCAGTCAACTTGATAGATGTACAAGTCCGTCTGGGTGAGTAAGCCAGTATCACCTCCCACATTCTCACCAAAAGGAGGCTCCAAGAGCCACTGCAACTCATGATGTGCTCCAAAACGATCCACGACCTGACAGTAATTCATCACCATGGCACTGGTCAGCGGCCTGCGAGTCATAAGAGCCTGGCTGATATGACTCACTCGCTGAATTCCTTCATCTAATGGCCACATGGCCATCTCATCGCTGGTGACCAGCTCGTTTCGAATCGCCTCGTGCAGATACAAGGCATATTGTGACATAAGGCTTTGAAAGGCATCCGGCTGATAAATCAAGTTCTCTTCCAGCTTCAACAAGATGGCCTGCAGCAGGGCCACAGGACAAATCTCTTTCATGACTTCTCGGTTCTCCAAAATGCGTGACACCCGTTCCGAGTCGACAATTTCGAAGACTCCGCTCTGATAATAGGCATGGCTTCTCACCCGCATCACCGAGAAATCCAACCCATCGCAGCCGGTGCCGGGAGGATCTGGTGTCTCATCGCTGGCTGTTGCCCCCAACAGCAGCAAAAGGAGACAAAGCATCTTGAGCAAGACCGGCTCCACGACCAAAAGCATGCAGAATGAATCACGGAAAGTCTCAAAAACGCAGGTGAAAAGCCTCTTGAAACGAGGATACATGCTACATCATGCTACGCATCTAAAGCTCCCCCCATGGCCTTTGATCAGCATCTATCAGACTTTAAATGGAAACAAGTAAGGACATAGCAGGACATCTTCGGAACGTGTGCCACACGGCGGATGTGGCGCTTTTCGATCGAACCATCCGCTGGCTGAAGCCGATTTCGGCGAGAACACCATGAACATCTCGGATCTCAACAAAGAACACACCGCCTGACATGTCTTCATGAAAAAGGAACCGCCTCGCCAAGAGAATTGACGGTTTTTTTTAAGCAATGTGAAAGTGGGATGAAGTGGATCATGTTAGACCTTCTACCGAAGTGGTCTGGCTCGGCTGTGAAGGACGATGCATCGCGCCGTTCACTCGGTGAAACTGGTGAGACGGAGTCAGATTACCTCAGAGGAAGAGGTCATTGGGAGAGAAACTACAGGCTTCAGAGCTATCACTGTCACGTATTATATATATATAATATCATCATTGGTTTTAAGCCATAGAAATGCTCCACTGCTATCGCGATCCATTTTGATCTTGGCTTTCAAATGTTTTATCATGTTTCATCATGACATCCCAACGTCCCAACGCCAAGCTACGCGCGGCTACGGGAGTCTAGGCGCAGCTGAGCCCTAAGGATTGAAGGCTGGGCAAGGGTACACTGATTTTGGACTAGAGTCCTCTGGACCGCGCAGGATTCTTAGGCAGCTGAGCCCGGCTAAGCCGTTCATCAGTTCTGGGGCTTCCAACTTTGGGCGCATGTCTTCGACAGCTGCCTGATTCGTCGCATGTCTTCGGTGGGGAGAGCTTTTTCAGTTGGTGATTCGACCCTGAAACAAACCTACATCAAGAGTGCTTAGACAAACTTCGCCTCCACTTGAGGGTCACAAAGTCTGTACAGGAGTTGAGTTGCCCCCATCATGCGTTCCACCTGGCTTTCGGTCTTGTCTTGCCAGTTCTGCTCTGGAGTCTTTTACTGCACCGAGCCAGGGTCATCTGCACTTGGAACTTGTCAAGCATGACAGTGTGAAACCGTGCCTCAACTTCCTGTCTGACCATCATGAGCCTCATCGGAGGTCTTGGATGTGAAGTGTCAAAGTAAATGATGGCAGCAAGAAAAGGCTCTGAAGAAAGGACATCGAAGTCAAAGCTGACATGACCCCCACACGAGAAGAGCTTTTTCTTTGCTGTTTTGAATGATTCTGCCGTGCGCTTTGATGTGGTAAGCTCTGGTCAACCAGTGTTTGGGACAAACATCTCAGGCTTTACTTTCCGCAGGGAGATTGTATAGAATGCCTCCACCAGCTGACTGCCTAGTCTGACTGCATGTCTGGCATTTTTTGGCCTAACCGCCTGGCCTCTACATTCTGCTCCTGCGGCACTTGAGCTTCCATCTGCCCTTGTGCCATCTGCGCTTGCGCCATCTGGGCTTGCTCCATCTGGGCTTGCTCCATCTGCGCCGCATATGCCATGCGGGCTTGTGCGATCTGCTCCTCTGCCATCTGTGTCATCTGAACCTGCTCTGCTTGTACAGCAGCAATCTCCGCCTGAAGCGGTGATGATGATCCAACGCGTGCATGCAATGTTTCAATATATAGTGATAAAGGGGGGGGTATTTTGGGGGGGCCCTCTAATCTCCAATTCATCTCTTTCCAGTGGGAGAACGGCAGTTCGAACATGGCCAGTGGGATAACGGCAGTTGGAACACGGCTATGCAAGTCACGATAAAATGGCAAAACACAACACCGCAAAAACGCGATCATCGATAAGTTGGAATAGAACATCAAACATATTCAAAAAGCCTGCACCCCCAAGATGGATGGCCATTGCGCATGGTTGCGATCATGGAAAAGAGTCTTCTATAACAGAAACCATCATCCTCAATGGAAAAAGCACACAAAGCAACACCACTAGTTTCCAATTGTTGTGTTTGTTGATGTGTTCCATGTCATCAAAGTCATCTAAGATTCCAGCGGCTGATTGGTGCAGCTTGCCTGTCTCTCGCGAGACAGCTATTCGCTCCAACGACCAGTGTCTGAATGGAAAGAAATACATCCTTGTGTAGAGAGGACTTCATGATTCATCTTTCGGTTAGAGTTCTCCTTCAGACTCGGGCCCTCATGGGAGGCCCTCAGGCAGGCGGCCAAGGTGCTAACATCTAGCCCTTGTTCTTGCAAGTACCGCATCTCTGCATGGAAGGACCTTCAGGTCTCACTGATCAGTTCTGAAAGGCGCGGATCTGATGAACAAAAGCACAAAGGGAGTCAACAGCAAAATGCTACAAGCATCTTGAAGACAAGCTAAGCTATAGTGTCTCAAATTGAGACACGGTTCCCTGCTGTCGTGGAAGGGAACGTGACAATCAACAAATGCCATGTATCTGTATACTGCTTGCATCTGCTTACCTCTTTCATTTAATCTAAGTTTAGGAAGATGGGTTAGCTCAGCAATCAAGTGCATTTTCATGCATGTGTTCCACGAGGATGTGCATTTGCAGATGGAGAGTTTTGGTCCCCGAATATAGAGAGAGATATTAAAAGCAGGGACTTCAGCCGGAAAAGAGAAAAAGCGAGTCTACAATGCATGGACAACAAACGCTTAAACTTAAACAAATATAAACAAATACTGTCAGTCCGTGAATCAGTTAGAAAACGACACGTCTCTACGCCGCGACCGGGCGGTTCTTCCAGTCAGCGACGGTCACGGTCACGGTCTCTTCGCTCAGCTCGTGACGCCATCGCGCGCTCGAAGCGTGTCTCCTGGCGCGGTCGGAGAGACCGACGGCGACGGTCGGAGCGGATCTCAACTGAGTGATCGGAGTGACCTCCAATGTCCTGACTTGTGACCAAAGTAGGGTGTCTGAGGATGGCTGGATCCATTCTGGAATCTCTATTGGGAGCGAAACTTCCCTCATTCCCTACGAGTCGCACCAGTCAGAAACGGGTGGAGGGCCAAAGGGTTCAGGGATTTGGTCATAGATCTTGTAGGATCTTGGAGGTGTGTTTGAGATGAAGTTTACTATAGTTTACTGTTGGACGTCACCTCACCCCAGAGCAGTGCCTGTGCATTGGTTCCGCGGTAGGACCTGTCAGCGAGCAATCGATCAGGGTGTTTGGATCCCCCGATCAAAAGGACTGGAAGCTCGCTCATCCCCTTAACCAGGGACAAACTCCTGACAGTCTGGCTGGCTGGTCAGATATGTTAAATAATTGCAATTGATTCTGACCCCCCCAATAGACCCGCCAAAAGGACCTAACCCTTCATGGACGCTTTTGGGTTCATACATCCACTTGGCAATCCACTCAACTCCACTCGCTTCCGCACCCAACGGTTCCAGAACACAGCGGTCTCGGTTGGGTTTTGCCCGAAGAAGAGGATGGAGACTTCTGAGTCTCAGTGTCAGATCCCAAGGTCCGGGCACAGGGCTGCTACTCCTTTGAACAATCGGAGGAAGCCTCGAAGGGTGGACACGGGGACGAGGTCCAGAAACATCGAGTTACCAAAGGTCAGCGTGGAGCCATGGTCGGCGAAGTGAAACTAGAGCTATACTACAGCTATGTAACTATGTACTGCTTTGCTCCATTGGCTTATGCTCCACATCTGTTTGCGGAATCTATGCCGGGTGATTTGGAGCTGAAATCGCTTGCACCAGCGTGAGACGCCCCGCTTTTTGTTCGTTTCATGTGGGCCTTGTTCCTAGTAGCTTCTTGCTACTAGATGTACTAGTATATAATTACAGTAGTAATTCCAGGAGCTACTAGTAGCATCCTTGCGTCTAGTAGATGCCCTTTGTTTCTAGTTAATCGGGATGGACACAGGGGACGGTGTGAGCGCAGTGAGCCCACCGACGATCTCCACGATCACGCTATGGACGAATGGCTGTACAGTCGTCTGCCATGGACGCATGCTGACCCTAGCTGCTAACCTGTTGCAACTCTCAGGACTGGAAAACAATAAAACAATCGAACACAGTGAAGCAGTTGAAGTGTTCGACTGAGTCTATTTTGCGGTCTGCTGCTTCAGGAATTGGTCAATCAGTGTTTTCTATGCAAAAAGAAGATAAGATAAAGGAACAAAAGTCATTTTTGAAACAAATCAAGAAGCACGGCTTGGGGTGCTCACGCCCAGTTGACCATGTCTGACGTCCGACCATGTCTTAGGGCTCAGCTGATGAACTCCTCTCACCTGCTGTCTGCGATACTTCTCCTTCACAAGCCGAAGGAGCCCACCCTAAGGACGAACAAGTGGTCAAGTGGTAGCAGTAGGGCGAAGGGTCAAGCCCGACCATTTTTTAGGATCTTGCGTTTTTTGACAAGAACCTAACGAGATTAACGAGCAGCTTGTTGATTCGGGACTACTGGATTCACATGGATTTACTATATACCCCAGCAGTACGTCTTTCAACAACTGATTCTGAGCTGTCCGAGTGGATCCCTTTGACTACCTGAGAGGCAGCTTCTGGTTCGAAAAAAACACCCTAGCTAACATAGAAACTTGAGGCTTTTCGATGAAGTGGTCTGCTCCCCAAACTGCCGATATCGCCACTCACATGATGACGGCCCATCAACGGCTTGCACCCTCGGTCCTGCTGGTCAACCACTTTCCGCCGCACATACCTGCGGACACGCCGTGCATGGGAGGACATGTTCCACTTCGGACGGGGAAACGCGAGATCGTCACCTGCGAGATCTAAGAGAGCGGAGCGTCACCTGGAGGAAGGAGCGTCAACTGGGTCAACACTGGAACTCCCTGGGTTTTTTCCCACCAAAGATGAACTGAAGGAGGTCAACCTGGCATGGACAACCTACCCTGGTTTGGGATTTCCTGGTTTTGACCCACAGCGCTCTGTCCGTTTCAAAAGGCTACACCAAACTGTCATGGGACAGTGGTCTTGCGCATGGACGAAGACTGGCCTCTAACATGACATGTCATTCACTTTTTGGCCAAGTGTGGAGTTTGTGTCATCGACAAAGATTCGCACGCGGGATGAACCCCTCCCATGCCTGACTTGTCTAAATAGTTGTGTTGTTCTCTTTCTTGTGTTGCTTCGCTCTTTGTAAACTACTTCGCACACCTGCTCTTCCTCGAACATGTTTGGCGTTAGTTCTAGAAATAAATGCTGGCTGCTCACTACGACGGAGTCTCTCAACAGCATTGGGTTGATCAACCTCATAGAATACACACGACTTGGGAAGAACCTGCAAAGAGTTGCGAAGCGGGGTCACCTATAGTATTCAGTGCCCCCGATACTTCCCTAGATGCCTCACTGATTGCATTGGATGCCAAACAAATCTTCACTCGGTGATCTTCCAAGGCTTCCCCGGCGTCCCCCCCCCAAGAAAAAGACATCAAGCAAGACTGGAACGCATCAAACCACACATAAACCACCACCCTTCACCACACTCCGAACGCCGCAACACCCGTTGACACCGGCGGCCGCTCTGGGCGTTCCCGGCGGAGTCTCCGAGCTGGCCAGTGGCCGGCCGTTGGGCAGCACGCGGCTCTGCTTGGCCTCCAAGATCTGGAGACCCACAGGGAGAGAAAAAACATGCACTATGGCACTATGCCATACTAATACTAATTAAGCTATACCTATACCATACCATACCATACGTACGTCTATACCTATGTATGAGGCTTGATGCTCGCGATTTTTGTTAGAAGGCCCCAGCGAATCAGAACGTGGCGAGTTGCTGGATGCTTCAAAGACTTGGTGTTTGAAATGCTGGACTTCTGGCGTTTTTCAGCGTCATAGTCGAGTGGTGCTTTTTTCCTTCGCGCCCAGCCGGCGCAAGGGAGGATGATCGATCGATCAAATTGGGCACGAAAACATCCTCCTCTTACTGTGACCGGATGACATCAAAAACAAACACCACCTGCGACCGGATGACATCCAAGACCGATGTCATAGGCGAGACCACGTGAGCACCTCTCCCTAAATGCAACTGGTTTTGATAACACTACGTGGGATATGAGGTGGGCACAGCAGTGGGATCCACATCCGCATCCTCAGCCAACATCGTCAAACGGTCCTTCAAGAACCACATGTGGTGGAACAGAGGAACAGTGAAACAGTCATCCTGAGCGTTGTGTCGTTCCTGATGTGTTTCAGCGAAACAGCATGCATCAGCATGCCTTTTCCGATACTTTTGCTTCGAAAGGACCGTTGGCCGTAGTAGAAAACAGTGTGATGTCTTTCGATCAGCATCGGTACGAGAGACACGTTAAGACGATCAGCTACATGTTCCAGCTTCAAGGAGTTGTCGTCTGGACTAAAGGCCCTGCACTGGACTGCCAGCGGATGATACATGATGCCGGATGAGCACGTAGACGAATTCCCCAGGCACCCAACACGTGGAAGGAGCAGAAAAACGCGTGAGGCAACTTCAGTCACAGAATACTAAGACCGTCAAACATACTGATCATACTGGCAAGCCATCTTTGAAGGACCCCATCCCCCCAAAAGTCCATCAGTCACGAACAAGGAGGGGTGCTTATATATTATATATACCTGGATCTTCGAAACGGCACAAATAATTGCCTTTTCAGGAAAAAATGCCGTTACGGCGTCTTTTCCAAAGACGGCGTTTTTTGTTGTGACGAGGCGCACGCCGGCAGAAAGCAAAAAGAAACGGCGTCTTTAAGCGTCCAAACGGCGTCTTTGGGCGTCCAAACGGCGTCTTTCCCCGTCCATGGATTGTGTACAACCCATAAAACGGCGGCATTTTTTTTTGATTACGGCGTCTTTTCACTAAAAAATGCCTCCTGCAAAAATTTGTGCCGTTTGAAGATCCAGGTATATTTAGATATATCTATAGTTTCTTCACAGTGGTTTGAGAGTATATGGCACAAGTTACCCCAAGTTAGGTGGGTAACTTGGGATCAGGATGGTGCCATCTGCTCTGAAGCCATGGTTCTTTTCGTACTCCAAAGCCATTGTGTCATCTACAACCCTGGCCACGAGTCCCAGCTCTTTGGTGAAACCAATCACGACGCATTCGTTTGGTGGAAGGAGCCGACTCCACGGCCCCCCACCGACGACGAGTGCCGCACGACGCACGAGTTCGAGCCTCTCGGACCAGGTTCGGCGCCGAGGAGGAGGTGTTCATGGGCCCGCCTGGCTTGGGAGGTGAGGGAGGTGATTTTGAAGGTCCAAATGGTCAAAGGAGGAACATGAACTGGCCAAAGCCTACAAATTCTGGGGTTATTTGTTGCATTTTCTAGCCAGTCAATGGGCTTTTCCTCTCATGAATTAACTGTCGCTGAAGAATGATTTTATAGCTCAATCTATCGGTGCAGTCATTGGATACGCGAACCAACTCAATCATCGCATCCACTGCGGTGCATGCACATCACCGGCGCCGACGTGCCGCCCTGCGCGTCCCGCGTGTCCCGCGCCTCGGGAACCGGCCTTCGCGCGCAGCGCCATGATGTTCGCCTCGCTCCCCGCGCGGAGCGGAACGCAGCGCGGTGACCGTCGGAGACGCGACCCCCAGGGATGCCCAGTCAAGCCCGAAGAGATCGGCGAAAAGCAGGTTAACAGTCCATTTGTTTTCTTTTTTTGAGGGCATTCCAATGCATTCCATTGACCATCATTTACCAGTCTCATCCACCCATTCTTCGGTCGCCCAACACGACCCGTCACCGGCGTCCGTCGCCTCCATCTCTCGACAGCTCCTCTGATAGGACCTCGAGGAGGGGCGTAGGAGGGTCGTCCAAAGTGAGGCTCGAAAAAGAAGTCCAAGGACTTTAGGGGAAAATCCATGAGAACATCAGAATCATCAGAACATCACCCACACATACCCACACCTCTGCTAAGTAGAGGTAGACGTTTTACACCCAGGTGGGGAAGGGTCATCCCACATTTTACGGAGTCAGGGAGACTGACTATGTTTGCTTGGCTCTGTTCACAGCAGTGTTGGACAAACCACTGGGCTCTCTGTCAAAACATCGGTTTTTCACGAGCACGAGAGCACGAGAGACAACGAAGTCTTTACATCACAAGCCGTTTGGCTATATAGCTCAGAAAGCCACGCAACCAGGTGCATGCTATGTTCGAATCATACCCACTTGGCCATTCAGCACACACGTCTCATCAGGTCTCAGTTTCCCTCTTCTCTGGCCCACCTGTTTTCAGCCCGTAGGGTGTTCATCTCGACGATAAGCTGCGCGTTCTCAGACCTGAATCATTTTGGAATATTTTGTGCATGTTTGATCTGCAATGTTTGGGTACGGGATGGTACGAGATTTCCCACAAGAGCGGCTATTTGGAATCGAACAACTTGGCGAGTCATTTTGCCGGTTGTCCGATGTCACATCAATGTCCCCTTTCTGAATCTCTATATCACCTTGACATTCAGCATATCAAGGAGTAAAAGGCTCAGCTCAAAAAGGCTACTTGGAAGACCAAAGACCATTTTCCTCCACAAACAGGGGGTGAACTCCACTTCCATGTTAGTTCCAGGGAGAGTATATAACAACTGTTAAAGTTAGACCTCGTCAAAAGCCATTGCTTGCAACAGCCCAAGCGCGATGGTGACCATGAAATCTGAAACAGGTGGTCTTCCAATGTGTTCCACTTCCATGATGATTTCAAGGCTAGCTGGCAGTCACAGACCTCGGACAGCGTCGAAGTCAAACAATATGATTTCAGGGAGTATAAAATGCCTGTCAATCGTGTTTTGTTCCACTGAGGCGTCGCGCGTGAGCTTGCGCACATCTTGCGTGCACTCGCGCTTGGTTTGCTCAGCCGCCCTGCGATGGCCGAGTCACAACAGGTAAAGAAGCCCATGTTCGATTTCAATGGATCATCGGAAACCATGGCTTTCACCCTTCAAACTGTGGGGTTTCCTGCAAAGTTTCCTTCAACGAATTCTGGGACTATTGCGGTCTTGTCATTGACCTCACTCAAATCAAGGCAATGAGACAAAGGCCCAGTCAGCTGTCGGTGACTTTTTGCAACAGAACACATCATTGAGTCATACATAGAATCCAATTTTCATAGATACCGAGCACAATCGAGCACAATCGAAAACATCAATCATAGACACCGATCCCTTTCGCTTCAGATCCGATCCATGGCCGTCTCATCCGACCGACCCATCGGGAAAAGCCCCAGAACTGGGCGTCCCCAGCGCCGTGGCAATCTCCTTCCGACGGAAGAGGAGATCGCGCTGGATCGCCATCTCCTGTGACCGAACCGAAACCACGGACCGTTCACCAAGAAGAGGGACGAAGAGATGGATCGTTTTTTCACATATGAATGTTTCATGTGGGAAAAGTATGGTAATTACATGTAAATATAGTACTGTAACAATTAAACACATGTAGGATATGTAGGTGAGGACAGGATCTCTGGATATCTCTGGTTCTGTTTTCAGTCCCTCTTTGCATTCATCCAAGTTTACAAGTTTCCTTAGCACATGATTGGACAAAGCAACCTTTGGGACAGTGCGCAATGCTGTCTATCCGTCTATCATCTGGTTGCAAACTAGGCATGAAGTCTTGCCTCAAGATATTGGAGCTCAGCTGAAGCTACAATAAGCTTATATGCTGACTACATTGACATCACATCCTCGGCTTTCACTTCACTTCCGCCCTAGAACTGATCAAACCGACTGGACTGCTGGGCAGTAGAAGATGAACACATGCACTCTTGCATTACACAGTTCAGGTTGCCACACGATTGTTTAAACTATTTGTTCGAAAGCGACCCGCTGCCCACCTCGATGAGAGCCTTCCCGTTGGCCTCTTCTTCCGAGCCTCAGTTGACTTTAGACCTTGCATTGGTGAGGCTTATATGAATGAATGACACGCCCGGACAAAAATCCAAGTGGAAAACCCCCTGGCGCTTGGTATTCGCCACATGCTGATCCAAGATGATCCCATTTTCCACTTCCATGACGGATTCCAGTCTGCTAAAAGTTATATTGTACAGTATGTCACTGCCAGCTGAAGTTCTGGAAAACGTCCAATTTCATCATCCATGTGTTGCACCCACAGTCCCCCGACGCGACTCTTCCACCGGCTCATCCGCGGGCTTCCAATCCTCAAGAGTGAGGGAAAAGCCAGGAATCATCAAACACCTGGTTCGGAGCCGCGCAAACTGCTCAGCAACCATAAAAGTTGTGTTGCCAAACCAAAACCCAGGTGTTCAATGAATGGCTTCTTATTATATAATTATGTATGGTTTTTTAGGCAGACTTTGCAATTCACTGAGCTTGTGGCCAGAAGCTTCTGATACTTCTCCAGCACGCTCTGTGCCAATCGGACGGTGAGTTTCACACGTGTCAGCTGATGGACATGTCACGCCAAAGTTTCTTCGACCAGTGGCGACTTGGTCAAACCAGACCGAAAAAAAACAACACTGGTCACCAAACCGTAAAACCAAATAAACCAACTCCAAAACGACTGCTCCACTATGGGAAACCCCAAAAACATCCAAAAACTGTGGGAAGTCAAAGCGGAAGATCGGCATGGGTTGTGGCGAAGTTGAGTCGAAACATCCAGCTCAAACACCCTTGGGCAGCCCAATGGAGCTATGAACTGGTATCGGCTGATTTCGGAAGGCGATACTTGAGGTCATCGGCCGTTGAACCACGTTGGTTCCTCTCGGTTCCCATTTGGACCGGGTCTTAGCCGGTGCCACCGGGCTGACATCCTCCACGCCATGCGGAGCTGCTCCCTTTTTGGCTCCGTTTTGGAGCCAACGCAACTTTCTTAAAGAAAAAGGAGAAGGAAGAAAGGTCTGATATAGTTTCTGCTAGTAGGTTGGAGGCCATTCCTATTATAGGTCGGAGGCCATCGCTACTAGAAACAAAAGAAAAAAGAAAAGGAAGACAGGTCTTACACACCTGTTCTCCCCCCCTTTCAGCCTTTCAGAGTTCCTCTGCCGCTGTTCTGTTCTCTCAGTCTTGACCATCCTCTTCTCTCATCACACATCGTCTCCCTCTCCTACCCCTTTTGGCCTGCAACTTCTTTGGCATCTGCGTGTAGTCATGGGTGGTATCTGGATGGAGAACTGTCTCCACCTGATCAGCCACTGTCTTCATCTGCCATGGCAACAAACAGACTGCTCCAAAATTTCAAAAGACCATGAACAGTGTTGCCAGTCTTTCAATTCCCCAAGAAGCGCTGTCATGCAGGACAATGTACCAATTGGCTTTTATGGTTTTATGCAATGGTCTTTATGTGTCTTTATGCTCCTTGAAGCAACTGTTTTATTGCTTCGTGTCCTCCTCTCGCCCAGGCCTGTTGGATCATTCGACGGCTATCCTGGAACTGTCGACGGCTAGTTGAGCAGCTCTAGACTATGACACAATGGCCAACTGCACCAGACCTGAGGTCACCCTGACACACCCAAGTGGGAGCTTGTGCACGCTGCATGATTTAAAGATCTTCGAGAAAGGCCTAACGCCGGGCTTACTCAGAAGGACTCTACTTTGATGTAGATTATAGATTGTACATCTTCTTGAAGCTTCCGCAGGACTTATGCAAGTAACATGCCTCTTGAACACTTGCTTGCATAGCCTTGCACAACTCCGGCTTTGGCTTCTGCAAAGCTATACGACATGACACTCCTCACCTTCGACATCTACATGAATTGCATGGAAGCTTCTCACAGGGCTCGCTTTTCGCTTATACATGCTCATACCTGTTTCAGCTTCTCAAGAAGCCAACCACCAGGAACTCCCAGTGCCTTCTTGAGCTGTACGAGCTGAGCACGCAACCTCAGCTCGACTTAACGAGAAAATGGCTTCAGGCTCCTTAGCCCTTCCGGTCCGTTCTTTTTTGGACGTCAACACCTACGACATCCTACGACCAACGGTCTACGACCGTGTTGACGCCTCTGATAACAGCGTGCAGTCGGGGTTCCGTTTCTGAGACACACACCGGGAGTCTGGGATGAAGATGCATGTCCCAGTATAGGTACAAAGCCCCAAAGCCCAAACACTCCATGTATGCCATGTATGCCTACATTGACCCCCAAACCCACCCCAATGTAGGTAAATATACCAGTCCCATGGAGTGTCTGGGTAGAAGACCCCCTGATAGATTCGGAACAGTAAAATCCGTTCATGTACTGAACACCGTTTCGATCTGGGAAGGGGTGCTGAACTTGGAGGATCCGGGTGTTTTTGATCCCCTGGTCTGTTATTGATCCATCCGCCCTGCCCCGAAAAGCTGCGTGTGGGTCAGCCACCGTCTTCAAGCAGGGGTTCAATAGTGAAGACACATCATAGGCCCTTGGAACTGCCCGCTTTGGTCTGGTGCTCTGAATTGCAAACCAAGCTTCTCAACGTTCTCCTGCTGCAAGGATGATGACAGCATACTCTTGTCCTTGGGCAAAAGTCTTGAGAGGATGCGTGGGAAATCCACGTCGTTTCGAATTATCTGATTACCTATTAGGTGCTTAAGGAGAATGTCTAAAAGCCATAGTAATTGAAAAAGCACCCGATGCTAGCAGGTGAACCTGGACGTCGATCTCATCGCTTCTCGGTGACCGAAGAATCGGCTCTTCTGTCAGTCGCGTCCAACCGCTGGGCTCCCAACGCTCAAGGTCTGGTGCAGCTTCTGCTTCTGCCGGAACTCCCGAACGAACCTCGGAACTCGCCGAAATCGGGAGAAAAACCACTGGGAAACATGGAAACCTCCCTTTTTGGGGTCTATCCATGTTGGCTCAGTGGATTCACTCAATTCTGATATAGGGTATCTGTATGTATCTGTCAGAATCATTGCAGGGGAACCTAAGTTAATCCATCAAGTCATCATGGGCAGACTTATCAAATATCAACTGGGCATATGATGGAACAACCAGCATTCCTTCAGCACTTGACAGAACAGCCTCCAGTTTTCTTACAAGATCTTCGACCCTGCCCCCGGGTCAGTCTTGCTCCGAAGAGTCTCGGCTCTTCCACCGAGTGGAGTGGAGATGCGTGGCCGTTCCGGGCCACTTTGTGTATGCTTGCCCCGTCTCGTGTCCAATGCACGACCACGTGGAGTTTGACGAAGGAAAGAAGTGGTCGTCAAATGCTTCCTGCATGGAAGATATGAATACATTGGGGTGGTTTCAAGGGTCAATATGGGGTGTTTGGGTTCGGAATTGTTGGGGATTTCTGGCTCTCCCGGCCAAAGGAGCCATGGCCACTCGTGCATCATTTTGACTAAAGACTCGGACCAAAACCTGCTAAAAACGACACCATCTCATCTACCTGGTCAAAATGCACGCCTCATTTCATCACTGTAATTAACACCCTTCCACAACCCATTCCCTCACGACCCCTGCCAATCCCTGCCAATCCCTCAGGAACCCAGACTCGGTGTACATTTCTCGAACACTGGTCTTCAGCGAATTGACCTCTGCCGAGGAATGGGATCCGCCTTCTTGGACTCAATGCTTTACCAAGTAGGAGCCTGAAATCGTCCCTCCTATCACCCATGCCCATGTATGATGATGTATTATATAAACCAGGCCCCTCGGTTTGGGGTGTCTAAGTATAGCTCCTCAGAGGTGATCCAGGGTATCCATTAACCACCCCCTATTCCAGGGGGCCCTGGTATGGGGTTCAGTCTAGCTGATGCATGATCTCAGTATCCGTTGATTTCGGCTCTTCGCCGGAGTCAGGCTACTCATGGCGTTGCATGGAACATATCCCAAAGCAGAACAAGGAACTGGGCATCGCTGTTTTGGGCACAGTCTATGCTGGTATCTCAGATATCTCATAGAATATCTGGAGGATGTGTGTGTGTGTGGAGCAAAGGATTAAGCTGCAGCTTGTTGCGATATGGCCGATTTGAGAGGCGCCGGTCGCAAAAAATGTCGCTTCGAACCACGTATCAGCTCTAATTCTGACTCACTGACAATGCTAGCAAGAGGAAGACTTACCACCCTTCGAATAAGCCGATGAAAATGGGCAAGGACAACAATCGTCTAGATCTGGATGTGCATCAAGATAGGGGGACCTCGCAGCTCGACCCCCTGGAAGAAGGAATATAGATCAGTCTACCCAGCCACAGCCAGGGGGGGTCTCCCTATTCAACTACACACACACTCAACTCTTGTGAAAAAGACGTGGCCTTTAGAGAGCATTTCTTCCCTTTGATTTGTCCATCGCCGAAGATGTCTGAACTGCCAGTGATCGCCGAAGATGGCAGAACCATTTGTTTTGTTCTTAAGGAACTAAAAACACATGATGAAACTATCTGCACATGGACATGTACACCCTATATCCGAGAGTTGAGATGTCACATCCTTGATATATCCTTTTGATGTCCTGTTGTACCACTCCATCACTTGCTGGCCTGCTCTTCCAGCGGATCTCGCTCTTCCTCCAGTGCCCTCACCTGCCCAAAGAAAGCACACCTTCTCCCACATGCAGATCTGAACCATTCTGAAAGGTCTATGCAAAGAACAACATGAAAGGCTGAACTTGTGGCAAGTGTGTGACATATTTTACATGCTTTCAATGTGTGGAAGGATTTGGTTGTGCTGATCTCATCCACGTGTCCTTGTGAAAGAGCACGAAGCGGAAGCTTTCCAGGTGCTTCATCTGCCTGAGATGTGTTCGTCACTTGAGCAGGTATGACATATATGATCATATTTGGGTGTGAAGTTCAAGGACAGGTAGGGGCCGATCTCAAATGACCTGCTTCCACCCCTTTCTCCAGCTCGAACTGCATTGCTTTCGGTGTCAGTTCTGCGTTTTCTAAAGGTCGGCCGCTGTTGTCTGGCCGGGGGAGACCCCGGGGCACCGAGCCCTCGGAGCTTGTTGAGGCTTTCATCCTTCACCTGCGACGGACGGAGCACGTTCCGAACGGTGGAGACGTATGACGGTGGAGTCAGACTTTGAGTTCACAAACGAGTTCTAGTGAGCACTAAGCACTAAAGTCCACTTAGTTCACAGACAAGTTCATGCACAAAAATCCATTGAGACTGCGGTCGTGGTGCCCGCACCTTCAAACTTCTTTCTCGCTCCTTCAACTGCGCTCGCACCTGTCAGCACACACAGCCGCGCGTGGTGAGCGACGCGACGGCGTGTGACGTCTCCCTGGGACGTGGGACGTCGTATTTTTGGTTCCGCTGGCCCTGCCTGTTTCCGCCAGGTTTTCTGTTAGGTAAGAGCCCACCAAAATGGGATCCATAAGGGTGATCTGCGGTTCCTACCTGGCTTGAGGTGAATTGGCCATGTTTCACTCGCCGCTCCTTCCAACAAACGATGGGCTTAAGGGTATATAATTACTATATTAGTCTATTAGTATCTATATTAGCTCAAGACATGGCTTCTCTTCAAAGGGTCTGAATGTAGGGTTCCTCGTTGCCGAACCCACCTTTCAAAGCGTTGCTCTCTCGGTGCCCCCAACCCGTTTTTCAGCATGGGAGACTCTCGGTTGAGGCCAGACTGGTGAAAAGCAATGGGTCGACTGCGGCCTTCTCCACCATCTCTTGGGAGGCTTGGAGTTTCTTCTTCAGGTCCTCTTGACGCTCCGCAGCCTCGCCAGAGCGCAGCGAGGCATAAGCTGTGCACGACTGAGCAGCAGCGGCACGGGGACTCGACTTCCGAGACGAAAAGACCAGTCCGGTAGGGTCAAAGCGGTGAAAGGCCAGGGACATGTGAGGAAATGTGGCGAAAAAGCTCCATTGAAGGGCTCCAGGACCGAAGAGGATTCCTTAAAATGCCTTCATAGTTGTTCAGTTGTTCCCTTCTGTCTGCGCCAGTTCACCACTACTTCTGTGGAGAACTCTTCCCTAATTAAGTTGCGTGACATGTGCTCATCGAATATCAACTCTTGTCAAACAGCTCAGACATCGGGTGGTCGGTGAGCCCGACGAAAGAGCCCAAATTAGATCCATGAACGGGTGATCTTCACCACCCTGGTGAGAGAGACATCTTTCCCAAATGACTTGGACATGCTCGTTGAATCCCCGGGCCTCGGCGATCTCCACATCCTTGGATTTCACCTTGGACGTTGCGGGTAACCCAGGTGATGGTGATGGTCGTTGTGTGTTGGGAGGCTGGTGAGAACGTTCTCGAACGGTGTGGATGGAAGGTGCCAACTGCAGTTGGCGTTGCATACATGTTGCCAAGTCAACACAAACTGGTGAGAAACGAATGCTAGAGACTATAGATGACTATAGTGACTAGAGAGGTTTGGACAGGTTTGGTAGTAACGAGAGCACGTCAAAATAACATGCAGTTGTGAAAGCGCCTGCTTCTAGTTACGAGGATCAGGCAGTGATAGTTGAAAGTGAATCAATATTTATTCAGTGCTCTAAGGAAAAAACAGGCAGGAAATCATCAGGCACACTGTGGAAAGGAGGGATCCCAAAATCGCAGGGATTCAATATGATTCAGCTGGCTGCCTCATCGGCCCCTTCAAACCATCCCGAATGACCATAACACTGAGTCTATATTCGATCCCGTTGGGCCTGGTTCTGGAGCATGCTGATGGTCTGCTTCATGCTGACGCCATCCTGGCCGCTTGCGGCCGGCCCGGCCGCCAGCAGCTCGCGGAAACGAGCGCGTTTCGCAAGTGGATATGCCAAGTGTGTGGAGATTGGTTGAGGAGGTCCAACAACTCTGGTTGGCCTGTCTTTGGTCTTGACAACACAAAGAACCCCAAAATTCTTATGAGACCCAAAAGCTAACTTGAATGCATCTCAAGATCAAAGATCCAACGCGCAAAGACTAGACTATATCCATTCCGCGCTAGTTGTTCCTCAACCAGACATGGGTGTATTCACAGCCGCCTGTAACTTGGCTTGTTGTTGCTCTTCCAGCACAAAAACGCAAATCGTTTGGCAGAAAACCAGTAGGATGTGCGTCTGATATATCTACACTGCCACCCACCAGCGGACATGAACATCGGTTGGGTATAGGAGAATCCATACGGAACACGACCCGCTTGGCACAGTCCTCCTACTTTGATCAACACCTCACATGAAAACCGGTCCCTCCCTCTCCAAATTGGTCTTGGCGATCCCAGACTGAAGAGTGGTGAACAATTGGGTAAACCATATAAAACATCATAAAAATAAATCATAAAACCACATCACTATAGTCACTATATATGTCACTATAGTTCTGCCACTAGCCATTGATCCTTCCAGAACTCCATCCGCCCCCCAGCCCCGCTCATCCGCCGTCCCCGTCCTTCAGCGCCGTCGCGGCCTTTTCGGACTCGTCCTGGAGAGCCCGCCGCCTGGGGGCGAAGGGGCGAAGGGGGCGGGCTGGGCGGGTCGGCTCCGACCTCTGAGAAAACAGGCAGGGTTGGAGATGATGCTTCGGTGTGGGGGGGGGGAAAGAACGGTTTTGTCCGGGTCTTTGAGGGTTTGATCTGGCGTAGAATGCCGACAGGTGCGAAGAAGAAGAGCTTCGAATTGACCTAAATCACTGCTGATGCTCCCGGCTAAAATGGATCCCGATGAGACTAGACTCCAAACAAAGCGCTTGGATTCCAACCAACGACTCTAGACTTCGCGACCGAAAACTGCACACGATTGTGACTTGTCGAATTTCCAGTTAAAACAATGTGAAATAATGTTCAGTTCCAGAATCACATCTCTTACAGGCTGGACTCAGCTCCAAGACAGTTCAGTGTCCAATGTTCAAACATCCTATACATCAAATCTCCCATTCCACACTCTCTCTATTCTATGCCGAGCACGGTTCGCGGAGCCCGGAGCTCCCACATGAGGACCCAAAGTCTTTGGGGAAGCGCAAGGAGCTCACGTATGCTCACGTTACGTCCCATAGGGCCCAAGTCCAATGAAGTCCAAAGCCCATGGACGAGTGACCGACACACCCCGCAGAAATGCCCAGACTGAGGACAGTGCTCCCGTTCTTTGATCTCGACGATCTGGCTTTCGTACTCCGACTCCTTCCGCGAGCCCATGCTGGAGTGGAGTCCTCCCTGAACTCAACAACTCATCATGGGAAGTGGAAAAAGCCAGCGGAAAACGACCGGCTTTCTATAGAGGAAAACGGGTCTTCCAGGGGGCTATGCAAGGCCCATCCACTTGGTTCAGAGAATGAATCTGGATGGGCACTCTTCCCCACGCATCGCCGTTCGAAGTGCTTCTGGGGATGACGGTGACGGAGAGGACCATATTATACCGATTGAACCAAGTGAACCATGATCAACAACTCTGGGACTAACTGACTCGGGGGGTTAGTCCCAAACCCAATCCAGCGCACTAGATGTACAGGCTCTTGACATCTCTTGACCATCCATAACATTCCATAACCACCCATTTCAGTCTCAGATCCTTGGACGAAGCATACTTCAAAAACAAACGACTTTCCGACTTTCCAATGTCTTTTCCAAGGAATCTGAGAAACAGGCTTTGCATTGAAACAAATTCACCAGGAAAACAAATTGTTCAATACAAACCTTGGGTGAGCCCAGAAAGCTTGACATAGCCTGACTCTTTCATTTTGGACTTTTCTTTCGGAGGACCAACTTTCACCCAACCTGACACCGCTCGAACTTCGGCCTTCCACCTTCCCAAACTCTGCAGTTCAGTCCTGCTGTCGCAGGGCTTCTTCGAACTTCAAGCCATCAGACTTCAGCAAGCTGCAGACCTGCACAGGTCTGCACATCTGAGCGGAACGTCAGCTTCACTCATCGGATCATCCGCGTTTCAAGGTCGTTGACAAGATCGAAACATCAAGCACGGTGACAATCAGTCAAAGTGAGCGGAAGATGGTGAATTCAAGAGCACCTACCTGCAAAGGCCCAAAGAGAGGTGCAGTTCGGAATGGTCAAGAACATGTCAGTGGGTGGAATGGTCAACACCTTTCCAGTCCAACCCTGATGCTTGCATGCGCACGACCATGGTGCTTGGAACTTCTGTGTTGTTCTTTTCTTAGAACCGTGGAGATCCGAACTTGGTGACTTTATCTCCCATCTTGGACATCGCTTGCAAACATGGTTGATGTTCCATGCCTCTCGAACATTGAGATTATCTCTGACTGATATGTGCCCCTCTCGTTGGGCTCCAGTTCTGCCTTCGAAGGCACCTATAGACCCTCCCGTTTACCCTCTCCAGTCCGACCTTCTCAAACATTTGGAGCCCTACGAATATGAAAAAAAAGGACTGAAGTCTTCAAGTCTTCGAAGAATCCGATTAAAGCCTCCCACTACGCGCGAGCATCACTCATGTTCACTTCTACCTCGCCTCGCTTGGTTTCGAGCGCTCGCACGCGCCCGCGTTTGGCGTGGTGCTGGCCTTGTCATACTCTGTCCTCCAATCTCTTAGGGCTCGTTCCTGGTGCCGTGAGACCAATCGGTTCCCTCTGACGGGGCGTGGACACCGGAGCCGAAAAACACATCGGTCGTGCCCCGTGTCGTCATCACCCCGCACATCACCGTCGTATGAATGGTTTGCACCGAAACAAAACGGGTGGCCTTGCGGAATCTCAAGGAGAGGTGACAAGGAGAGGGGGTCAATGAGACAGAAATCGATGCACGATTTTGAGGAGAAGTGATGGGCGAGCACGCGCACCAAAACTGGATAGCAATTGTTCATCAGGTCATGTTTCCCCGGGAATCCTTGAACCTGAACAGCAGTCGTTCGTCAAAGCTGTGGAGTCCACGAACCCGTGGTTTCTCTCATCTTTCGCCTGCCTGAGCGCTTCGCAACTCCAGCAACTGCTCATCATGAGATTTCAGCATCTGCCCAGAGCCGGTGAGTGGCCGGTGGACGGACTGCCGCAGCGTGACACGAACAGACTGCCGCAACGTGAAAGGTCGTCGATGAGCCCTCTAAAATTTAAAGCAAAACAGGTGTATATTCAAAAGCGATATTGACTATAGTGACGTCTGGGTGCGCAGGCATCTGGGGCTGTAGGCCAAAGCCAAGCCTATCTCATTACGACCCCTTCTCTGGACCCTAGTCTCAAACTGGAGACCTCGACCAGACCTCTCTAGGAAAAGTATTATATGGAAGTGGTTGAAGTGTTTCTTGTCGCGTGGGCTCTGGGGTGGATGCCCTTTTCAATCAAAGCCCCTCAGAGCCTCAGGATGTTTTGATCCTCACTGCACAAGCTGAGGTGCACTTGGCCGAACAGGTCGCTCAAGCCAACGCAGCTTCTGTACGACTGCAGCTAGGCGTTTCATACTTGGCCTTGGTCTTTTCGCCCTCAAACTCGTCGCGAAGGCTTTGGAGTTCCTCGCGGCACCGCCGGACCACCGAAAATCCGGGCTCAAGCCACAACGTTCGGCTTTAGTTGCGGAAAAGACACATGGCTCGAAAAAAAGATGCAAAGACATCTGCCCTTGACCTATATGGATCTATATGGATTCTTTTTGATTTCAGGGTGTCTCATTAATTCCCAACGTTCAAGCGCAAGGGCCTTGGACGGATGATCTCAGCGCAAGGACCTTCCTCCATCTTTGGATGTTCCCCTTGTTCTAGACGTTCAAAACCAATTTCTTTCATGCTTTTGAACTCGGAATCTCCAAGAAAACAACATGAACATCTCCCCCGACTTCGGCCTAAAGAGTGTGAAAAGCTCTACCCTCTGAGCGTCCAACATCCAAGAGTTTGCTGTTCTTCTCATATTCCTTCGAGATGGTGCCCTCCAACTCGTCCTGCCGATACTCCGCTTGGTGAGACACCAGGGCCATGCGGCGATGCATGCGGCAACCGACGCATGCGATGCTGCATGGTCAGACATGGTAGCCGGAACAGCCCCCCTCCGACAACTGTGGCACATCCGTGGAACAATGGCTCGAGCTCTTGCTCCAACCTACAAGTAACAGGGTACACCAACACTGCGCCGTAGCTAGCTGCTGAAAATTGCATCGTGTCTTTCGCAGACTTCAATCAGTAGAGCACAATTCCTTTTGCTAAAGGGTCGCATTACCTCCTGTGTACTGGTTACTTGGACCGTCAATGGAAGCATCATCCAAGCAGCATCATCGGAGGACGCTTGATCGCACTCCGAAAGTGAAAGTCCTCGTACCTTCTAGTCCGTCTGTGGATTGAGAGTAGATGGCACACACCCCAAGAGGTGGTTTATAATATGGACCCCCATCTAAACCACCTCTTGGGGTCTGTGCCATCTACTCTGAAACTACTACAATCTTTCCTTTGACCCCTCCCAGATCCTCCCAGCACTTCTCAGTTATAGAAAAAGTCCGTCACTGTGTCAAGTGTGCCACCTGCAAAACTCACCCTGCATCGCCTCACCGCTGCATGCGCCTGCATCTTCTTGTGGCGATGGTCAAAATGAGTGTTGGCCTCTTGCATCTCCTGGCACTTCCAGCGCATTCTGGGTCTGCCCTCCTCCTCCTGTTTGAGTCTCAGTCTCTAAACAGCTTGGATCACAAGATTCCAGTCTCTTGTTTCAGCGCAAACCCCCAATTTGCGTTGCTTCGCGGCTCAACGAAGAAATGTATCAACTGCAGGCTCCCGAACTTTTGGACATTGGATGCAATACACATTCTGATCCACATGTTGCTGTGATTGTTTTCAAGTCATCCATATCAACAAGTCAACATGTGCGGAACAAAAAACAACCCATGCTAACCTTAATGCAACTTTAACACAAATCATCCAGAAATGCAGTGGAACCGTTTCCTCTTCATTCCCGCAGACCCCTAGAAACTCCGCGAGGGTCCAGAAATGCACCCATTCACCGTGCCTTCTCATGGCGCTCGGTGGACTGCTTCAACTGCATGAAGAGATCTCAGCGAACGCGATAGGCACAGTCAAACGCTTTGGATGAATACCGAGCTTGGAAGAATCCGGTTCTGAAGGGATCCCCAAACACCGTTATTGAGATATTGGGCATTGAATGATATTGAATCCTTCTGCGTCTATATTGTTGCTTGGGGTTCTCCTGAATTGTGGTCAAATCCTTGATGATGAGTTGGTGTGCGCAGAACATGGGAAGACAAACTCTTCCACAGAATTCTGCCAAGAAAAGTAGTACATCAGAGACAAAGAAGCGCAATGATGATCTCGAATGAACACTTACTAAGTGGGAAACCGGTACAGAGTCAATGACACCATTTCAATCCATGTCCCTCAATCAATCATGTCAATACCAGTCGCTATTGGTGCCCACTACCCAGAAACTGAGTGCATTCAATACTGAGTGCCCATTACCCACAATCCGCTCCCCTACTTGCAAACCGCATGGACATAAAATCCTCCCGAGCTAAAGGCTGTCGTACTTCTCATCGGCCAAGCTCTTTTGCGATCGCTGCCTTGCAAGGGACCGAGACCATCAGCTGTAAGGGAACGAGGAGAGGGAGTTTCGTTCAAAAAAGAGGGCCTCTCAACATGTCAAACAACTCAGAAACAGCAGGACATCGGATACCATCTGTCTCTGTCTGCTTTCTATCCATGGCCATGTTTCCCTGCTTCATCGTTAGACATATATGAACATGGCGTATGACTCTCAAACAATATACACATCATATTCTTGTGCCCACAAAAGAACATCTCTGAGGAGTGCACTCCATTTGAATGGATATAAGCTTGTCCTGCAGCTCTTGCTCCTGGAAAGGCACTAGTCAACCCATCGATCCTGGTGAGGAGTCGAATGGGGAAAGCAATTGACCACCAGCAATTATAAGCGGTCAGATTTCATGTTACAGAATCTTGCTCTGTAACTAGCTGCCGGGCTTGGCGAACTCCCCATCGGTTGCTCCAGTTCAGGCCGCGGAACTCCAAAGCTTTTCATGGGAAAGAACTGGATACATTCAGCGACCCGACCTGACGCCAGCGCACCTGAGCTTTGGCAGGTTAACTCCCCAAACGCTCCGTTCACGACGGCCGACCGGTCCTAAAAACCTAGTTCGACCCCGGTCCCTCCACTTCGGGGCCGAACGGGTCGCGTCGAAGTCGTCTGTCGAACGCTCCTTCTGCTCCAAAACGCGATCGCTGTCGTGCTTCAGGACATCCCTCAGCAGATGGATGATTTCTGGAGAAATGTTTCATGTACCAGAAACTTCTCGGTGATGTCTTCGTCGTTCTAGGAACCCCAAGATCTCGAAGTTCAATTCTTTTCCTAGGGGATAAACCTCCTTCTGGGTTCAGGGCTCGCTACAAAGTTGCGCCGCGTGATTCACTCGTTGCAATCTACCAGGATGCTCTATCTGGGTATACCAGTTGATATACCAAACGATATAAACTTTATCTCCCTCCCTCACACATGCCTAAATGAAGGCAACAAAAATAATTCCACCAAAAACACATTGTTAATATATTCAAATATATTCAATATTCAAATATTCAATTATTTACATCCAAGGCTCATGTGTCTGAGAACATCCTACTGGTCGCCATGTCGTGGCCACACTCAGGCCCTTCATCGCCTCCAGGGCCCCCAGCATGCGATCTTCCAAGGCGCGGATCTCGCTGAGGACGTCAGAGAGATACGTCTGGTCGAGAGGTCGGACCAGGTCGGAGGGTTGGTCTGATGGGGGCTATATGAGCCCTCGGATGCAGTGTGTGTCTATAGGGAGACCCCCTGTCTCGCCCCCTGGATGGGTAGAAGACTGGTCTATTCTCCATCTTCGGAGGTCTCCAGCAGTTAGATGCTACAGGATAGATGTGCACAGAAGAAATGCCGATGCTCCAGCAGTTTCCATGTCAGAATGGTTCAGGCCTTGGGATCGTCCAAGTTCGGCACCCCGACATGGAACTTCCCTTAGGACATTCCTGCATGCTTATTTAGATATCTGGTATATCTTGGTATTATAATGTATTACATGATTACATGTCTGATCATGTCTGATCATGTTTTCCAGTAATTCCCTTTTTTCACCATTTGGAGGATCAAAGAACTTCCCAGGTCCAGGGGGAGCGCGTCTGGCCTTTGGGATCATCTGCAAATCATCCAGCTTGGCTGTTGATGCCGAGATCTCAGCAGGAGGCGAGATCCGAGTCATCTGATATGGGTCAGCGATGGGACTTCGTGTCATCGAACTGAGAACATCCTACTGGTCAAAGCCAATCGGACTCAACAGGCTGATTGTCAAGTAGGCGAGTAGGCAAGAATGTACCTGGACCCTCCTGTCGGGGTGTCCAATGGACTACCCCACACTACCTATAGGCTTCCAGACAGGGCACCCCTCGGAGGGTCCTGGCCACTCGGAAGGTTTATCTTATTTTATCTTCTGTTTGGTCCAAAGAGCATCTGATGGCCATTGCTGAAGGCCAGGGAGCCACCCTGAGTTGCTATAAACTCACACAACCGGGCGCGATCCACTTTAGGGCCATTTCTGGCGATCCTCCTGTCCTTCAAAAGCATCTCATGCAGAACATCTCACTCTTTCTAGGCTTCCGAGCAGCCTTCACAGCCTCCCAAAGCTTCTCCTGCAGTTCCAAGGCCTTTCGATCATCCTCCCGTTGTGCCTGGGCCGAGACGATACCATTGGCGCGGCGCGTGAAAACACATGATCAAGAGAGAATTGGGGGGTAAAGAAAGCCGTAGGGTATTTCATCGCTGTCATTGAGATGTCCTCAGAAATAAGGCTCCAAAACTAGCACTGTGAGTCATGATGGGTCATGTAACCGTTCATGTCATTGCAAACATGTTTCATTTCATCTCATGTATCAATTGTATCCATATTTATCAAGTAAGGTAAATGGGAACAGTTTCTTGCACCAAACAACCCAGTTTCGGTCCAAAAACACCACAGCTCTTCGGTTGTTGCACCTTGCTGGAGACCGGCTTTTCGTTCTCGCCGTGCCTTCGAATGATGAATGATTCGTGGATGGCATGGCATACCCAAAGGGGATTGTAAGATAGTTGTCTTTCAGAGATATATAGACTCATAGACCATCTATAGACCCCAAGTAGATTCCCACTAAAAATGTATTGGAAACCGTGCCACTATCTATTTGGTGAGCACCAAAAGACAAGTGGAAGCTGGATGTCTAAAAAAATCAGGCAGAGAGGACGTCCTCTTAGACCTTTGTGACCTTAGTTCCAAGAGATCCTGTTTGAAGCGCCTCCCACCTACTAGCGATGGCCTCCACCCTAGTAGCGATGGCCTCCAACCTAGTTACTAGCGATGGCCTCCACCCTAGTAGCCATGGCCTCCAACATACTAGCGATGGCCTCCAACCTACTAGCGATGGCCTCCAACCTAATAGCGATAAGAGACCCTGGTTCCAAGAGACGTTAGCTAATAGAATCTCAAGCATTGTCGCATCCCACTCAAAAGAAAGAAACGATGACAGTGATCGGCGCCTAAAGCGGACAATCTGTTGTTCGATCCTGGCCAAAACGATGATGACATGACCACAGTTCATCCGTCATAATAGTATTAGTATATTATAGAATATTGCATCAAATAGTGATCGAAACATAGTGAAACAAATCTCTATACAGAATAGTCACGCGCGGACAGTGAGCACTCTGCATTACAGCACATGAGTTTGTCATTGGATCAACCTGATGAGTCACCAGAACCTCCACGGATACAGAATTGCTCTGGCGCAACATTCCGCTTGTCGTATGGCGATCTTTCGCATGTCGTATGCCGATGTTTCGCGATGTTTGGTGATCGGCTACAACAACGCTACTAGTAACAAAGGACATCGCTACTAAACTAGGAGCAAGGACGCTATTAGGGGCTTCTGGCCTTACTACTAGGAACAAGAACGCTACTAGTCTGAAACCCGATCATATCAAACCCTTTCAAGCTCTGCCAGGCGCACTCAGTGGCTGAGATGGGCAACAAGTCGCCCTCGGAGTCCAGAGTGCTCTGTGCCACCTGCCACTGACCCGGATGGTGCCAGACGTGTTTTGCTGATTCTGTGTTTTGGTCAATGTCCAGCACTGGCAGCAGCAATCAGACTTGCAATCAAAAGTTCTCCATTCTCCATGACAATTCGACTTTGCAACGGTCCATATAAACATCCCCTAGAAATTTGTTTCCTTGTAACCCTCTTGGTTCATTTGTTCAAAGAGAACAAGATGAACCTGCAACTCGATCAATTGTTGCGAACGCGCAATTTTCTACTGCGATGGATTGGACGCTTGTCTTCTTCCAGCTCTTCTTGGCTATGGAAGC